AATAAGCCTCTGGGTTATCTTGAGCTAAAGACAATTGAAAACCAGCAGAAGCAGGAGAAGTTACAGTATTTACCTTCTCCCAACTGCCTATCCATAGAGCGTAACTTTTCTCTTTTATAAACGAAATTTACGGGCCAACCCCGTGGCGCACTCGGGAGAGTGCGGCGCTGGGAGCGCAGCGACGCTCCCGCTGCGGGTTCGGATCCTGTATGGGGATGGCCGGTGCGCTCACTGGCTGAGCGCGGTGATTTACATTTCTAAAGACGTTTCTTGAACCAGGAAGAGAGCTACTTCCAGAGACCGGGCTTATCCCCTAAAACTCTTATCTGCATAACACGATAACCCTATCCCCTAAAACTCTTATCTGCATAACACGATAACCCTTATTTAACATACGTTTCCTCCCTCACCTTCCCATAACTTGCCTTCCCACCCCCAAAGCCCCAACCCCTTTTCCTTTGTCTAGCCTAAGATGGTATACAAGCCTCAATCACCAGGCCACCTCCCTGAACCACATTTTTCTTTGTGAACTTTCCTGTACAAGTAATTAAACCTGTTTTTTTTTTTTTTCCTCTTGTTATTCTTTTATCAGTTTGACTCACAGAACCTAGACATTGAACTTAGGAGGGTAGAGGAAGATTTCTCCTCCCCTACACTCCTCTTCATCTGCCCCTCCATGGTAGCCTCGGAGAGCTCCTTTTTTACATGCCTCCCTGCCTCGTCCTGCCCATCCTTCAGCTAAAGCATCACCGTGACTGATTCCCACCCTTCTGGACACCCGGTTGTTGCCCACAGCCACTCACCTGCTGCACGGGCTCAATGGTCAGCTCCATGTAGTGACTGATTGCTGCCATTGTCCTCAGTGACTTGCAGTGTGACAGCATGGTAAGAGGCACCCAATCCGAATTCTTCCAAGCGGAGATAGGGAAACAGAAAAGGGAATTATTAAAATCAAGAGGGATTTTCTAAAAACAAGGTCGCCATTGTCCTCAGTGACTTGCAGTGTGACAGCATGGTAAGAGGCACCCAATCCGAATTCTTCCAAGTGGAGATAGGGAAACAGAAAAGGGAATTATTAAAATCAAGAGGGATTTTCTAAAAACAAGGTCTCATTTTACTCAAAAGAACCCCCAAGTTATTTTGTCTGTTTTTTTTTACAGCACATCTCACTTTCTGCTTCCTGTAAGATGTGTCTTATCTCTCTCTTTGCAGTCACAGTAGGTTGGTGGTTCCCAAGCTTTGCAGCACAGTGGAATCAGCTGGGGATCTTAAAGAGCAAAATAACTGCTGTTTCTCATCCCCAGACATCCTGATATAATACGTATGGGATGTGACGTGGGCATTGGATAGTTTAAAACCCCCCGCTGATTCTAAAGTGTGGCAAAGTCTAGGAACCACTGCAGTAGGTGCTAAATAAATGCTTTGGTAAAGCATTTAGGGTGCTTCAGAAGCACCCCGTAGGTTTGTTAAAACACAGATTGCTGGACCCCATACTCAGTTTCAGGTTCAGGAGATTTGGGTAGAGCCCTAGAATTTGCGTTTCTAACAAGTTCCTGGTGATGCTGGTCCAAGGACCACACTTTGAGAGCCAGTGCTGTAAAGGATTGCTGAAGAGATTCCAAAGGCTTCCACTTCTCTCTTCAGAATACTAAGACACAGAGCTCTCTCTAAATATTTTAGCTCCCTTGTGGGATATAATTTGATAACAGTAGCTAGGTGGAGTGAGAATAACTTCCCACTGGGGCCTTCAGGGGAACTTGGCTCTTTGTTCCAAGCACCTATACAAATCACTTTTACTTTTGTCATATACACCACTGTCTTCAATTTTATTAACTAGTCAGATCACACTGTTAAGCCTAGAACATTTGGAGGAGTTTTTCTTGTTATCTGCCTAAGTACATCCCTTTCCTCCATCCCGGCCATGGAGGACGTTCACTCACAGCCTCATTTCCAGTCTCTGTAAGAGGAACCTAAGTGGTGAAGAGCCAGGCAATAGGTGAGATTTTTTTTTCCCAAAAAAAATTATCTTAGAAAGAAGAAGCCACCTTATATTTAAGTCCTTACAGGCTTTCTCATATTATCAGGTGCTTTCTCAATTGTTTGGAACCAAGAACCTTTGATGAAAACAAATTGCCTTGATTAGAATAAGTTCTGGCTACTTGTAGAGGTCACCTGATTGAATCAGTAAAAGAAAGAGACAAACGAGTTCACCCTGGGCATGTTAACTCTTATTGGTGGTAGGACGTAACTGTAGATGTTGAATGTTCTTGTAAATAACATGTGTAAAGGACAGCTTTTTAGTAATATTGACTAAAAAAAAAGCAATGCAAGTGCTATTTGTGGTCAATGTGATTTCAGTGACCACAAATAGCAAATGGGTCTTATGGCCTGAGATGAATTTCTAGACAGCGTCACACACAGATTCACAAAGGCTGTACCACACAGCTTAGCATGGTAATAGGCTCTGGAACACGGTGTTAGGTGACAATGTGAATGTTAAAGGCGCATGTGAAAGTGGGAACACAGTTTTTATAAAATATGAGAGGAAAAATCACATTTTAAAATTAATATATTAATTTATGTAGTATGTAAATTTATGTATCAGTAGGTAAATCACTAAATAGCATAAGTGGACATTTGATTATTTCATCTATGTTGCTACAAGTATATTCAGTTGATTAAGTGATCAAAAAACTTTAAAAAAATTCTTATAACTGGGAAAAGGAAGGATCTCATTGCATTCAAGGTCACCTTAGCTTTGGACATAAATAGCAGCTTCTTTCAGTGACCAAGTGCGGAAGGACTTCCAGAAGTCCCAAGCCCTGGCCCTCATGGAGGCCCGCTGCCCTGTCCACTCCCTGCCAGTAAACACTTGGTGGGACAGAAGTTTTCCAGCCGGAGAGACCTGGTGCTCGGTTCTTGCCTCCTGATTTTCTTCCTCTTTCTCTGCACAGGTCAAAAGGGCTTGGGTGTCGGGGCTCTCTCTGGCTTCAGTGGCAAACCTGAAGGCCCGTCTCATCTTGCTCTTCATCACACACGAAAGGAAAATGATCTGAGGTAGTGGAAGTTAAGGTAGAAGGAAGCAGAGCACTTTTGCTGCCTAGTGCTGCCCTGTGCCCCTCCACCCCTGGGACGGGCCCTTCCTGCCGCTCTGGACTCTCATCCCTGCCTGGTATTACCCTGCTTGGGTGTGCCCCAGACAGACATGAGTTCATCTGAGGACAGGGCCAGATCTGACTCTCCATTCCTGTCCCCATGAGGGCCCAGAAACCAGCAAGACCCTGTTCCTAACAAGCACTTGGTAAATATTTGTTAAACAAAAGCACTTTGAAAAACATCTTTCTTGAAGGGCGTGGTTTACAGTGACAGGAAATGCAGTGGGTTGGATAGTGTCCCCTGAAAATGCATATCCACCAATGACCTCAGAATGTGACCTTATTTGGAAGTAGGGTTTTTGTTGATGTAATTAATTAAGATGAAGTCAAAGTAGATTAGGGTGGGCCCTAAATCCAAGATGAACCCTTACAAGAAGAGAAGACACCCCGTGCCTAGCCACAAAAAAAAAAAAGAGGAGAAGACACTCAGATATACAAAAGGAAGAAGGCCATGTGAAGACAGAGGCAGAAACTAAAATTATGCCATGAGCCAAGGAGCCACCAGAAGCTGGAAGAAGCCAGAAAAGATTATCCCCTAGAGCCTTCAGAGAGTGTGGCCCTGCCTTGACTCCAGACTTCTGGTTTATTGACACACACATACCACCACCTACAACATCCACTGTCAGCACCTCCAACCATCTGTCTGAGCTTAGCTTGCCCTTGAAGCTCTAATGCCAAGGTCACTTGGGTGTCAGCCCATCAGGCAACACACCCTGGGACCTAGGAAGATGCTCAGCAGCCACTGGCAAATGGCAGCACTTACCGGCTTTTATATCTGCTTCTCTGACAAAGGCTACGGTACAAAGATAAGAGAAAGCAGAGAGTGAGTAATCAGCCCTGCATTGCGGGTCAGCTTGCAAAGCCTATACAGCCTTGTGGGAAGGCAAGGCAAAAGTGAGGAAAATAGGCTCACAGGAAGGCAGGGACCTACCCGGGATGAGATGCCCAGGCAGAGAGCAGAACTGAGACTTTCGAAACCTGGGTCTTCTGACCCCAGGGCCAGGAAACTTGACACCCTTTGCTGTTTCAGAGAGCTCCAGCCAAGAGCCGATTTCTTCTTATAAAAAAAGGGAAGACATAAAACTGGAAATAATTGCATCTGTGTCTGCCTACCCCAGGCTTCAAACCACCTCCATGACTGCGGGGAGAGTTCCACCTAGCAAGAGGGGAGGAGGGCGTGACGGGGGCAGGGAGGAGATGAGACTCAGGCCTCGTCTGGCTGTTGGGCAGTCACGCTCCCGGGCCTGGGGTGGATACAGCGAGGTCCAGCGCAGCACGGCCGAGGGAGGTCAGGAACCAGGGTGTGGCCCGCAGCAGGTACTCAGGCTGCCGGTCATGGGCCACGATGGCCGAGGCATAGAGAAGGCCAGCCAGGGCCGACAGGAGCCGGGCCCACAGGTGGATGAAGGGAAAAGTCTTCCCCTGGCACTGGGCAGAGAGAGGAGGGGGTTGGGCAGGGAGGAACCTCATGAGACCCAGGCCCCTCAGAGGCATAGCAGGTTGGAGAGTAAGCCCTCTGCCCACACCAGTCTCCAAGGACACTGCTTTTGTTAGACTCCCAGCTTTTGCTCAAGTTGCTTCCTCGGCCTGACAAACTCCTACGCATCCCTCAGAACCTGGCCTACACTTAACTCTGGCAAACCTCCCCTTACCACCCCCACCCTAAAGCGAGTAACTCCCTCTTCTGGGCCCATCATACGTGACACGTCCCTCTAGCAGAGTGCCTTTTACTGATCATGACTTAGCCCTTCACACACTCAGAGGGCTCCTGAGAGCAGCACCGGGGTCCCCACCACCTCAGTGCCCAGCACCTGACGCTGGGCAGGGGCTCATGAATGTCAGCTGGAAGGACACGAGGAAGACTGAATTTTGAACAGCCAAGGCCCGCCCCTTCCCTCCCATCCCAGGAAGAATTCTGGACCAGGTCAGATGGGAAAGGTCAGAAAAATGAGAGCTGATATTGTGGAAAGTTTAAAGCCAAGAGGACACTTTTGGAGAACAAGTAATGGAAATATTGACTCGAAAAAAGGAAATGTATGTGATATTTATATGTAAGTAGTCCTTACAGGTATAAAGTCACTTTACATATACATTTACGTGTATATACACAAATACTACATATTTCCAGTTATATATAATTATATGTATTTAAATTAATGTATAATATATATAAGTTATATTACACATAATTTAGTTTGCTCATTAGATGACCATATTTAGAGATACACAGGCCCTGGCTAGGGAATGGAAAAAATTAAGGGGAAAAAGCATATTCTGGCTGATTTCCCCCCATTTTTATTTTAACTCTCAATAAGAATCCTTGGGAATGTTACATTTCCCTCGGCATTCTGTCTGACTTTGTTCCCAGGCCTCCCTGGTTCTGGCCCGCCCTCCGCTGAAGAGAGGTTTATAGAGACAGCCCCATCAGACGCTTATCTGCCGAGCACCTGGCCCAGGAGGGGCCGGAGGCTGAGGATGGAGATGATGCGCCGCACACAGGAAGCAGCACTGCTACAGCTCGTGCCACCGCAGAGCCAGGCCCGGGCCTGGCCTTCCTGACTCTTGGCCTGGCTCTTGCTTCTGCTCAACGTGCCCATGCCGGGGAGGCCTCTGCTTTTGCCCACATGCTAACTCATTGACAGCACCCACCGTCTTCCAAACTCAACAGCTTTTCAGGTCAGTACTGGGGCCTAGAGGGCTCTATATATCTGCAGTGCCAGACACACAGCAGGTGCTTCGTAACTGTTTGAAGAATGGAACTGGACCGTGGCTCAGTGGGACGTGGCAGGTCCTTCTCCAGTACAGCAGGCCTTGTCTACAGGACAGGACAGACGCTGGGAGCACCACCCACTGCTGGCCGCCTGGCACAGCCATGCTAGGGGCTGGAGGCAGGACCTCAGTGGGACGTGGCAGGTCCTTCTCCAGTACAGCAGGCCTTGTCTACAGGACAGGACAGATGCTGGGAGCACCACCCACTGCTGGCCGCCTGGCACAGCCATGCTAGGGGCTGGAGGCAGGACATGTCTCAGACAGCCACAGCAGCAGCCACAACTCCTGGTGTCAGCACGGTGCTTTACTGATGCCATGTCCTGTTCAAGGACTTGTTCCTGGGGCAATGGAAACTCTCCTAGCAAAGCCACCCAGCCATTCCTCTCTACAGTGCCCCTGCCATGGCTAAATCAGAAGCCACTTGTGGAAGAACCAGGGCCTAATGCCATGCTGGCCAGCCTTCCCAGAATACCCCAAACCCTGCTGGATTTCTCCCTAACAAGGGAACCCTAGCTCTGGACTCTTCTTCATGGGAATAGAGACACTCAGTTCTGTCAGCAACCCAGGCAGTGCCCAGCCCAATCCCCACTGCAATCTCACTCTATCATCCTGCCCAGGGGCCATCAGGCTTGATGCCTTTAGTGATGGGGAACCCACCACCTTCTAAGGCAGGGGTAATACTGACTGCTCTCCATAAGCCAGGCACATGCAAAGTGTCTTACCCATGAAGTTCCTCCTTTCACTCAATGAGAACTGCCCCCCACCCCCAACCTCTTCCTGATCTTGGCCTTGGTTCTGTTCTCTGAAACCTGAGAACAAGGATGCTCTTTCTGCCCCCAGACAGCCTTTCTGATTCCTGCACCCATAAGCTTCCATTCTTCCAGGCCAGATTAAGTCAGTCATTACTAAGAATTTGCTGGCATCTGTCACGGGCAGGCCCTATGCACCTGCACTACAGCGGGGAACAAACAGACAAGGCCACTGCCCTCATGGTGCTGACATTCTGCTGGGAGACCAGGCAGTAACTTAGTAAATAACTAAAAGAGCTAATTTTAGGCTATGATAAGAAAATAAAGCCCACTACCTCCTAAGAGTGAGGGAACACATGGGTGGGGCTGGCCTGGGGGCTATTTTAGGTGGGGTAGTAGTATGGGTTGAATTGTGTTCCCCCAATAGATGTTAACATCCTAACTCCCAATGCCAGTGAATGTGGCCTTACTTGGAAATAAGGTCTTTTTATTCTGAGGTCATTAGGATGGGCCCTAATCCAATGTCCTTATATTAAGGGGAAAGTTGGACACAGCAGGGTACAGAGGGAAGGCCAAGGAAGGACATGCTCAGAGGGAGAACAGCATGTGAAGGCTGGAGTGAGCTGTCACAGGCCAAGGAACTACCAAAGCTAGAAGAGAAACCTAGGACAGATCCTTCCCTGTCACTTTCAGGGGGAGCATGGCCCTGCCGGCACCTTGATCTCCACTTCTGGCCTCCAGAAGTGTGAGACAATAAATTTCAGTTCAAAGTTTGTGGTACTTGTCACGGCAGCCCTAGGCCACCAATAAACATGTCAGGGCACTATGCCAGCTCCTTCACAGGCCTTCATGCAACATGGCTCCTCAACCCCCCACCCCCGTCACCCTGGAGCCCCACCCCAGTGGCTGCTGAATGGAGCCCAGCAACACCCCTTCCCCTTTAATCTGGAGATAGGACACTTGCTGACGGGCCATGCCCCACAAGGCTTCTGGCAGCCACAGCACAGGCTGAAGCTTCACATAAATGATCACTAACCACTCGCATCCCTGAATGCTGCTCCCCTGGAACCGCTCTTCAATGAGGGATTCTTTTTGGACTAAATGATGAGCTGTTACATTTCATAGTGTTAGGTTTGGCCGCTGTTCCTACCAGCAGGACAGGAACAGCTGTCTCAGAGCTGTCTGCCGAGGAAGCCTGGCTGAACAGTTCTCACACGTCCACAGTGTCTTGCTGTTTCTCAGGTGCTGTCCTACATGGTTGCTTTTCCCGCATTCTCTGCCCACGCCGCCTTTGCCTAGACTCACCTCCTCAAATCCCACCTTTCCTCTGAGCCCACCTGACGCCTCCCACCACAAGTGGCCTGGCAGCGTAAACAGTTTTCACAGCCTCACACCTGCTCATTTGAATAATGCAGGAGCCTCTCTTTCCCTTCCAAAACCCCAAATATTTGTGTCTATCTTTCTAAGAGCATTAAATTATCCTGCTTCCCATTTCTGTGTCTTCCGTGAACTGTGAGCTCCCCTAGGGCAAGCACATCTCAACTCACATCTATATCCCCCACAGGATGGGCCAACATGGGGCTTCCCCACCCCAGGTACTTAGAAAATACCTGCCAAAAAATGCTGTGGAACTGCACAGAACCCTGGTACCTGACTGAGTCTAGCCTCTAAAACCCTGTCACTCTCCAATGAGATTCTTGTTTATCCAACCCCAGTGGCTTTTTCCTGAGAGCCTGCTTTTCATTTGCTACAAGAAAAGGGAAAGAATGCAGTGGGCCTTCCCTGATAGGCTCTTGCGTCCTCAGGACTTCCCCTGCGCTGGCTGCCCACACTCAGCCTGTCATACACACTGTCACTGTCATACACACTGTCACTCCTCAGAAAAATTTAAGTACATGTGCACATACACACACGGTGACGTCCCAACTCCTCCCCAATGACCTGGAGCTTCCAGGAGGCTCCCAGATGCCCTAAGACCTGCCACGTGACCCACAGTCCCAGTCCCACCCCCAGCCTCACGATTCTGGAGAGTTGGGGGATCCGGGAAGCCCAGGAGCCAAAGGCAGCGATGCCACCCAGCAGGTAGCCGAGGATTTCAGTATTTTCCTGCAAGAAGAGGTGATACGATCTCAGCACTCTGTGGAGACCATCCGTGTGTCCCACAAACAGCAAAACCTGACAGTCCTTTTCTGTTGTTAGAAGGTTTCTCCCAACAATGGCAAGGGCTAATCTTCACCACCCCTCTCCCAACCAGGGCATTTGGCAAGACCACGAGGAGGGAAGGGACCGGGACCTGCACTACCCCATGTTCTCACCTGCAACAGGCTTCCCAGCAGCCTCCGCTGCGGCCCTTGGACTGGTGCTTTCGGGACAGCAGCCCAGAGAGCCAAGCCTGGGCCCAGGCTCAGTGGCAGAGCCAGGGCAAATACACTGGCCCTGAGCCGCCGCCTCCTCTTCCTCTTTGGGGTGCCCCAACCTGCAACAGACACCAAAATCTCACATGGTTCTTGGAACCTAGAACTTATCAGATGGGTGAGTGGGAAGTTGTGGGGCTTTGCTTGGCCTCCTGGACTTACTCGCATGCTGAGGTATCATTGCTCATCCCCTAAAGCCATGCACCATCCATCCTCCTGGCCTTTGCCCATGCTGTCTGTCCACCTGGAATGCCCTTGCCTGCAGTCCCAGTTCCAATGTCACATGCTTTCCTGACACCTGAAGTCTTTCCCTCCCTCTAGTTGCCTATAGTGTATACACAGCTCTGAGGTGGCATCTCTAATGACTGTCTAGGGCCCTCTCCTTCATCTGGGTGAGGTCAGGACCTCGTCTGTTTGTGCCTGGCAGGGGCCCAGCTTGGGGTGTGACAAGGAGTAGGCACTCAGTGTGCCGATAAGTGAATGAATGAAGGAAGCTAGGACAGACTGCCACACACTCACCTGAAGTAGACTTGAATTTGGATCCGCAGACTGGGAAGAGAGTGAACATAAAGTTCACTAAATCAATAGCTGCTAGGTAGGCACCAGTGAAAACCTGGGAGCAAATGGAAACAGAGTCTTGGTGTTCAAGCATCTTTTTTCCCATCAACTACAGCAACTGTCATCCTGGGATCCCCTCCCCTTCCACACATAGTAGTCCAGTGACACCTCCCACCAGCCCCCGGAAGGTCCATTATCATTTCCATTTGACTGATGAGATGGCGGGGTATTTAAATGACTGATCCCAAGCTACACATACGCCCATGGGTAGAGATGGGACAAGACCCCAGCCCTCTGCTTCCTACTCCACACTCTTTCCATTGCATGGGGGAGTCTTTGCTGTGTAACTTTGGCCGAGCCACTGAACTTCTCCGATCCTCAGTATTCCCATCTGTAAATCAGGCATAATAACAGTGCTTCCCTCAAAGACTGTCAAGCAGATTGCTTGAGACAATATGTGGAAAGTGCTAGGACCAGTGCCTGGAAGAAATAAAGGCACCAGCTACTATGACAATATAGTTAGTGGTTAACAGCATGTGTTGTGGAGTTTGAATCCCAGCACTGCTACTTACTAGATGGGTGACCTTAAAGAAATCATTTAACTTCTCTATGCCTCACTTTCTACATCTGCAAAACAGGGATGATGAGAGCACTCATGCCACAGGATAGTTTGAGGATTAAATAAGTTAACACATGAAAGGTCCTCAGTCTCAAGTACATAGTTAAGTATTTAATAAACACTGGCCATTATCATTGGACTTGAGCTGGGCCTCATTATATTCTATCAGATAATGGGAACAGGCACTCAGAATGAAAGGTGATTTGCTTCTGAGACAATGCTTCTGAAAGCAGGGTCATTAGAACTCTCCAGAGCTGTGTCCTGACCATTAGGCCGCCCTCCTTCATTTCTACCTGGGTGGGCACAAGGCCGGGGCCAGCCCCATGAGGTACATTGGACTTGAGCTGGGCCTCATTATATTCTATCAGATAATGGGAACAGGCACTCAGAATGAAAGGCGATTTGCTTCTGAGACACTGCTTCTGACAGCAGGGTCATCAGAACTCTCCAGAGCTGTGTCCTGACCACTAGGCCGCCCTCCTTCATTTCTACCTGGGTGGGCACAAGGCCGGGGCCAGCCCCATGAGGTATTCCCATGGTGGGGCCCATGAAGTTTCCCTTAGGATATGTGTTTGGAGACAGGACTCTTCTACATGGGTTTTGGGGAACTTGAAACTGCTTCCCACGGACTCCAAAGCCCACATCACCACCTGGGAAAGGACTCAGCTGCTTCTGCATGAGCTAGGGCTAGGCTAAAGGCTCTAAAAACCATAAGAATAGTAACTACTTATTGAGCATCTACTACATGCCAGGTACTGTTTTAAGCAATGGGGATATGGCCCTTGTGGAGCTGACAGTCTAGTGGGGTTAACACACAATAAGCAATACACACAAGTAACTAAAGTATATGGTGTACTAGGGGCTAAGCTACGGAAAAAATAGATCAGTATGAGGGATCTAGAGTGCTGGTGGAAGAGGTAGGTCACAATTTTAAACAGTGGAGACCCTTATTGGGAATGAACAAGAAAGAAGCCATTGTGGCTGCAGCAGAGAAATGGAAGTCACGCCTGTGCTAGACTGAGCCACTGCTACCCATGGATCCGACATACCTGGATCGTGAGTTGTCTGGCCAGAATCGCCCCCACGGTGTCACACAGACTGGTCAGGAGGCAGCAGGCAGCACACAATGCCGACTGGTCCTGTCTGGATTTCTTTGTACATCTCAGATAGAGAAGCCTGGGGTATAGGGGTGTGGACAAATACAGGAGCCATGAGTTTGGGAATAGGCCCGAGCAGGCATCTGAAAAGGGCAATTTTGACTTTGCATCCTTACGAAGCACTTTCTCCCCCAGGTGTTTTTGAACTTAGTTTACAGATGGGAAAAGAAAAGATCAAGACTGCAGGGCCCCTGGTCAACAAGCCCATGGCAGGAGCCACACCTCACGAAATGTGGAGACACCCACTTTTCTAATGAAGAAAAATTACTTTCCTCTTCAAATCAGGCCAATTCAATTTACTGACCCACCACTTAGCACTGATAAACTAGACGGTTTTATTTTTTGAAAGGAAAACAGAAGAGTTATAAAAGTTAACTGCAGAGCAGAGTTAATTGCCTAAGTTAAAAAGGCAATTTGTTTCCCTGAAATTAAAGTAAATTCTTCTAATCCATCCATGCAGTGGGGTGGCCTTGTTTCTGCTGGCCTGTGTCCAAGTTGAGCATGTTCTTTACTCACAGGGAGAGCAAAACTCCTGGAAGATGCCATGGCACTTGGGGCTGACCTCCCCGCTCAGTTCCCACTGCCGGCTTCTCTCCTTATGGCACTGTCCCCACCCCAAATACCCAGGAACACGTGCAGTAGGGCAGGACAGTCCGGAAGGGGTCAGAGGTCTGTCAGCATCACTGATCGGATCTCGGAAACACTTTGTTCGTGGTGTTTCCCTGCTACATTTCCACACAGAAACCCCAGGCTTGATTGCAGCTCTGATTTCATTTCCTTTAACCAGAAGGTGGTCTTCACTCCGCAGCCTTAGGCCTGTTTGGCTGGTTCTGAGTGGCAGCCCTTGGGATAAAGGAGGAGGATGGAGGCTCCGGGGTTCCTTAAAAGTTCTCGACCTGCCCGCCCAAGCCCAAAGCTCACAGTGGGAACATCAACCTCCATCTGGGCCCTGGGGTCCTGAAATCAATTTAAGGCTGAGGAGTGAAAACTTTCAAACTGGAGATTCTAATTACAAATCATTTATTTCAACCCTCCCATTTGTGAGAGGAGAAAATGGTGATAAGGTGAGCTGATGGCGGGTCTTCTGGCTTCACAAGTGGCTCTTTGCTCTGCACCCTGTTGCTCTCAGCCAGCTGCCCCACTCTCAGCAGCCAGGGATCCCAGGCTGACCTTACCCCACCCAGCCCACACACCACTGGGAAGAGACACATTCCCCAAAGACGAATGGAGGTTCAGGGATGGCGAGGTCCTGAAAACAAATGGATATGTCCAGACCGCAGGCAGGGTGAAAAAGCGGCGGCCCTGCTCTCAGACTGACCAGCGAGGCATTCTCAGGGGAGTTACTTAGCCTCTCGAAGCCTTGGTTTCCAGGTCCGTAAAATGCCTAACAGTGCTGCCTGCAGAGGGTGGCTTTGAGGCACAAATGAGGTAATGCACCTGCAGCGCCTCCTCAGTGTCCATCTGTGATCTGGATGATTTAATCTTTGCAAATCTACCCCGTTTTGGCAGGATCTGGGGTTTCAGTTCTTCCCATTCACTCGGGCAAGTTATTTAACCTCTCAGAACCTCGGGGATCCTCACCTGTAAGTGGGGGTAACAACAGTACCTACCTCGTGGGCTTGTGGCAGGGGTGGAGTGAGTTATTGAATGCAACACTAGGCCCACAATAAGGGTTCTAGGCGTCTTTTCATTCCTGTTCACACGAGGCCCAGAGGTTCTATAACTTGCCCATGGCACACCGCGAGTCAGTGGGAAGGGCTGACCACAGGACCCAGGTGCACCACCCGGCCTCCGCCCGCCGGCTCACAGCCCAGCCTCCCTGTGTGCGGAATCCGGAAAGAAGTATCCGACTTCAGTCTACAGAGGAACGTTCGATCTGATCCCGGAATCGTGCTGCCTCCCCCATGTCCCCTTTCCGCCCCTGCCTTTGGACTTCCAAGAGCGAGTAGCCGGGGGTAGCACCCCTGCCCCCTTCTCCCCCCACGACAGACCCGCCGCCCGCCTGGCCCCGCCGGGTCCCGGGCCCCATTACAGCGCGTGGGCGGCGATCCAGCAGGAGGCGGCGCAGATCCACAGGCCGAACGAGATGCAGACGCGGTGGCGGGCGAAGCAGCGGCCCAGGTGGTCCCGGTCCCAGGGCGCGGGCGCGGGGCTGGGCGCCTCCCCCATGGCCCG